ACTATCAAAGCTAGCCATAAGAATATCAAGGTCAGGTGCTGTGATTGGCTTATTCGATGACTCGGACCAATCACAGCACTTGACCTTGACATTTTGATGGAGTATTTTGATAGTGTGACACAGGCTATTCCGGGGAATCGGAGCACTGTGTCCCCTGACTTTTCTCGGTGACTTAAACTTTCACCAAGTCGATGGAGCCCGGTTCTCACCTGCCGGAAGGTAATTGCGTCAGTGACGTGAATATTTTTCATCTTTGAATCTGTTTCATCTTTGAATCTGCGAGCCGGCATGAGCTGGGTCCCGGATAGCGGCTCGAGTGTCTCAATGCCACGTTCATTCATTCGCACCTTCTGGGTTTCATGAATGGAGCCACGTTCCGAGTGAGTGGATGCTCCCGCCGCCGCGCCGCCGCCGGTCACGACTCCTCGACCGACAATTAGCGCTCCATCGTTCGTTTTTACCAATTTTGCGATAATCCGGTTCCGGTCCTCGCCCCGCCACGCCGGGTCACTCGACCCCACGCCACGCCGCACAATGGATCGAGTCAGTAGGAGAAGTCGGACAAAATTTGGAAACTTTAAACGCTTATGACTCCGTTTACTCACAAATTTCAAGTTCTGATAGTGGTTCCATTGATTTCCTCGTGCAATTTACTTCGAGAAGCACCCATTGAAGTTGAAAAGGTGGCAAAATAAACATAAACATCTGCAGTTTAAGTCAAAAATTGCACGTCCGATCAAAATAATGGAGATGTTGCATGTGTGAAGGATTTGCGATTTGACCATTGATTCGTACGTAAAATTTTGCGAGAAACTTGATGGTGCCACTGGCTTTCTCTGAAATCATCTCCCAAGCTCAAAAAAAGCTCTCAAGTTGAGGCCAAAATGGAGGGGATATCCTACCCTACCTTGAGAGTCCACCTCTACATCAAAACTAACTCTCCATGCAAAGATAGGGAGCAAATACATTAGCAGGGTTGCCACTTTATTTGGGGACTCCAAAACTGAAAACACGGCATAACCCTGCTAATGTATTTGCTCCCTATCTTTCCATGGAGAGTTTGTTTTGATGTAGAGGTGGACTCTCAGGGTAGGGTGGGATATCCCCTCCATTTTGGCCTCACTTCGAGAGCTTTTTTTGAGCGTGGGAGATGATCTCAGAGAAAACCAGTGGCACCATCAAGTTTCTCGCAAAATTTTACTTACGAATCAATGGTCAAATCGCTAATCTCTCACACACGCAACATCTCCATTGACTCGGTCGACTATGCGCCGGATCGCTCGAGAAATTCCCGATTTCCTCGTCGTGCAGGGGCGGGTCTCCCCAAGCACACCTCGAAACACCGCGCTGCGCCGGATCGTCGGGCAACGAAAAGAGCCTGTTGAAAGAGTGCCCTGTTGCCCTAATAGAGCTCTTGCTTGTGTCAGAAAGAGCTCAGTTGTTCTGATCACAGAATCATTTTTTCATGATTAATTCTTGTAGATTAGCGGAAAACAATAAGATCTGTCCAAACAGCAACTCTCCACGTTCAATATTAACCGAGATATTTCCCTAAATAAAGTCTCTAGACTACATAATAGAGTCACTAAATGAGTGGCAACTCTGTTAATGTATTTTCTACCTATTTTTGCATGAGAAGTTTGACTTGATATAGAGGTGAACTCTCAGGACAGCTTGGGATAACCCTTCCATTACGGCCTCAATCCTGAGAGCTGTTTGGAGTTTGTTTCAAAGAAAAGCAGTGGTATCATCGTGTTTCTCGCAAAATTGTACACAAGGCATAGAAGTTGAATCGCAAGCTCAATCGCAGCTCAAGCTCATAACTGGTTTTAGCATTACAAAGTTGTAATGTTTGCATTTTTTACCAGTGAAAAATGGTAATAGTTTGAAGTTCCTCGGTCGGAAAAAAACCTTTGAATGATCCCTCTTTACTTTCTGACGCCTCAAAGAAATTACTGGCACTAAGGTAACTGAAGATACTGATGTTAAATTTTAAAAAGGATCAACCGAAATGTTTTATTTTTTCACCCTTTCAACAATTCTTTAAGAATTTTTTTAACACTAATTTTAAAAAAAAATTGTTTGAATTTCATTAAATTTTGCAGAGCTCAAAACAACAGCTCGTTAAACTTATTATTAAATTATTTTAGGCATATTTTCGGTTTTACCAGGGGCTCAGCTCTTGCTGCCCAAGCAAAGCACATTGAAGCAAGTAAACCAGCGCGCGAACGATTAGCAAAGCTTTTCTCAAAGTGGCAAGGGTCAGACGGAAAATTACGAGATGAAGACGCTCCTTCACCCCTTTGATTTCCGTCGACGCGGAAGAAAATCGCGAAGAAATGCCCTGGAAGTGCATTCGTTGCAACTACAAAAGCCTAATGAACGGACGTGATGAAACGATTCGAGCGACCGGAAATTTCGTTACGGAGCCGACTTCCGCCTCGACGGGTGAATCGAGGTTGTTTCGATGCGTTTCAGCGATTCCTTAAGGCTGTGGTTATAAATCGATATGATCAATGATAATCGATTGAATAAAAAGTCCCTCTCCGTAGCAGATTACTGATTAACACCGAATTGGGTACTTCTCTATTCTGTCGTGCTAAGGAAGAACGCCGTATGATCATTCGAGAGTTGCCAAATTTCCTTCGATAAAATGTTTATTTTTGAGAAAAATTCTGAATATTTTTCCTTGAAATTTTCAGACGTTTTAGATCTAAATACTAACAAAAGTATTGGAGAAATTGGTAGACAAACAATCAAAACTTCTCCTGAAAATTAGCGATTTTCCAGGGGAAATTTGGCAACGCCTGAAGGTTCATATGGTATGTTCTTCCTTAGCATGGCAGTATTCCGCTGACGGTTGCTCAACTCGGTGGAAGACTCCGTGCGCAGTTCGCGTTTTCCTTGACCAAATTATCAGACTTTAGCATCTGAAGTCACTCTAGTTTTTTTCTTCGAAACTCCCTACGCAGATAAATTATTGCCGCTTATTCTGCCGTGCTAAGCAAGAACGCCGTAAATCCATCAAGATTTTCCCGCGTTTTTTGGAACTTAACACTTTATAAAATAAAAAACGTTTTACCCATGCACCTCAAATTTTCAGGTTAAGTTCTTGGTGTCATTTGAAAAAGAATTCTGTAAAAACATTGTACCGAAGTACACAAGTATTTTTTGCTATGATACATTGTTTCCGAAAAATTTAAAATGACGTTTACGGCGTTTTTGCGTTGAACGGCAATATTGACGTCCAATTGGAGGGTGTCGTGTATTGGCGATTCTCGGAAATTGGAAGCAGAGTTTCCCCACTATTTAAATTCAATACAAATAATCGATTCTAGGTGAGAAAGTTTGCCTTTATAGGTGTCGATAGTGGTGAGGCGTCAATGATAGACTATCGATATTTCCCCATTTGGCTATGGTAAAGAATGGATTATTAAAGTGTTTGTTGCGAACACGCTGTTTGTCGATTCTCTTCCACAGGTTTAAATGACAGATCAATCGATATATCTCAAACCACGTCATGCCACTGGTATCGATTGCCTTGCATGTATCTAAACGGACGGAGTTGACAATAAGTATCACCAACCCACAAGAACCGCTACCGGTCCTGCGGGCCAATCAGGGCCGTGGATACAGAGGGATCCCTGGCACACCCTGCCCAGAGAGTGCCATGCAGATAGGGAGAACATGGGCATGGTAGTAATTTTGGAAGTTAGGGTTGATTATTCGTTGAGCTCTCAGGGCTGAAAAGAGGAGTTAACCTATGAAATTAAAGTTCTCAGCATCACTTCCTATTATATCACTACCCGTCGTTTCAAAAACTATGTAAACACGTATCAAATCCTTTTTCTCTGCATGAAGGTCTTCAGTTTTGCAAAAGGACCCTTATTTACACACAGTATATGCCGTTTTGGTTCGACAGATGAATGTGAAGGTTTTAGAGAGACATTTCTATCTGCGCTTGCAACCTTCATCATGGCTCAAGAAGTTAATCTAACAATGCAACGTTGTTGTTTATCATCAATCTACCAATGTCAATCTTAATGTGTCTTAAAGTCCGATGGCAAAGTATGATATCTGCGTGTGCGAAGGATGCCAGATGATATCGTAAGTTTTGCCAACACTCCGCTAAATTGATACTTTTTCCATAAGAGGAGAGGGATGGATTCAATGAAATTTTTTATGGTTGTTTGTAATTATTTTCCGGTGTTTTTTTACGGAAATTAGAAACTGAGACCTTCCATACGTCTAACAAGATACTTACACATACGATTGTAGTTTCAAATCCCTAAAACATTATTAAGTTGCAAGCGAAATATCGGGAGTTGATGAATCCAATCGTGAAAATACCTCATTTCTGCTACATTCGCACCCCTTAATAACCGCCTTAATTTTTGGATCGATTCAATTTTTAAGTTCGATGACTTTTGTAATGCTGGCGAAAAAAATACGTAAAGAACGCAATTCGATATTATCTTCACGACTGTTTTCCTTCATTCAAATCATGGATAGTCTCAATCGTTTTCGCCCAGTAATTCCTTCTGTACACAGGCATGAAGAGGAGTAAGAGCCCTCCTGATTACGCCTTAAACCCGGTCCAGACTCTCAAACATAAATCTAACCTCTGCAAAACTAGTTTGTTAAACCAGATTTAACCCAAGCATAACTAATTCTATTAAACGGCATGGTTTAACAAACCACAACGAAAAGTCGGACCGTCTCTGTTGGACCGGAATCATTCAACACTGGTAAAAAAAACCTCTTGGTTCAAGAGTGCAGTTTCTTGTCGCCGGATTTAAGAGTCTGGACTCTTGTTTCAAACGGATTTTGAATTGAATCAATGCAAAATCCGCTTGAAACAAGAGTTCAAGACTCTTAAATCCGGTGACAAGAAACTGTACTCTTAAGTCAATGCATCGCGGCATTGGTCCAAGAGGTTTTTTTTACCAGTGAGGGATACATCACGGCATGCCTAATATTTATAATGGAACATTACTGACCTTGCTTCTGCAAATAATTCTGTCCAGTTTCGAGAGGAATCTTTATGACTCGCGCTGGAAGTGCTTCAAGTAGATGGTAGTCCGTATTACGAAAACACTCCCAATCAATAAAATAGTAAATAAAAACACGGAAATAATGAAAACAGCGAGTGAAATACTTCGGACGGCGATGTCAAACTTGTTCTCTGCGAACCCGGACACAGTGTCCAGATGGACGTTGAAAAACAGATAAACCTATAAGAAATATATAGAATACTTTGAATTTCTCACAACACTGGAGTTACGATACTGATGGATTAGAAACTATGAAATTGAACGTGATTACGCTTCGCGACTTTTGGCGGGAAAAATCTTTCTCCGGCAGGCTTTCACCACTTTCCCGCGATTCGGGGACTGCTCATAATTCGACAGTTTGATGGATAGTAAAGAAGCGACTAAGATGGTTTTTTATCAGACTCCCTTTATATATCTTCTCCAATTAATCGCTTATCTTTCCACTTTACAGCTTCTCTCTTCGCCTCTTTATCGGCCTCTTGATGTTCTCTCGTTCATCCGTTTCGTTTGCAGACAGTAGGTCTCCGATCATGACCGCAGTTCCGATGCGTCACTCAATGTTAAGTCGGTGATGCCATCGACATTCATCATTCACCGCTGCAGCTCGTATACCTGTTTCCCATTTTCGTGTTTATCCGCACTACTCAATAGCCTTATCGTAATGGGGTCAGAATGTCATTCACACCGAAAAAATGTTGAGTCGGATTCAACATGGCTACAACCCCACAACTACATCCTACGACACGTATACAGTTGTGCGGTTACTCCGTATTTGATACCGTAATACCGCATACCGTAATATTGTAGTACCGATACCGTAATATATACAGTAAGACATTTCTAATAAATATAACGCCTTTCATGAAGTAAAGCGGTTTGGCTCTTATGGGAAAAGTACGTCCGTAAAGTCATTCGTTACGTCATCGCCTGAAAAATCGACGAAGCTAGCAGTGCGCCAAATGACTGAAGGTTCGTGTTGGGTTTTTTCGTAGCATAACATCAACATGATATGTAAAACACCGATGTAATGCCAAGTGGAAGTTCCGGGGTGTTAACACCTGGTTGACAATGAGCCATTCACCATGCAAGATGGTTAATAGTATAGAAACTGTTAATTTAACAATTAGGTAATACTGTTAATGTAGCGTGAAGATTTTTTTCTAATGAATAAACTCATTTTAAGAAAAGGAAAAATGATGCATGTAAAAACAGATGTTTAATTCCAAAAGCCTGCTTTTGAATAGCGCTTTTAAATGGAAGTATCCAAAATATTTTTAAATTTCCTAATTTGGCTATCATATGTGTCATTAAAGACGCATTAGGTGTACATTCCATGAATGATGAGATGTGATATGTTAGCTGGATCATTCCCCTCTCAACCATAAAATTTCTGAGCTTTTTAGTCGATTGTAAGGGGTCATTGGATTTTTCGCGAGAAAAAATTCAAGTCTCTTACCTGGAGTGCGGTTCAGTTGAGCTAAGCGAAATCTGTTGGACCACCTCTTAAGATGCATTATTACACTCCATAATCTGAACTTCCCCTCCTTTTTTCTCGGTTTTCTCCGTTCCATTGACCCGGGAGATCACCTCCGTCAGTATCAGTTCTCTAATAATTAGCTCTTAGAAATTGTAGCTTATCATTAATTGTTTTTCGACTTATTGAAAACGAGCCAAAGAAAAAAGCGATGAGGAAAATATCCGTGGCGCTGCGTTAATGATAGATTATCGATATTTCTCTATTTGGAGCTATGGCAAAGAATCGATTATTAAGGTGTGCGTTGCGAACGTTCTGTATATCGATCCTTTGCTGTAGGATTAAATGGCAGATCATTCAATATGTCGCAAAGCACGCTACGCCTCTGGAAAATATAATGATTGGCTCTCTAGCTGACTACGGGCATCTGGCTCTCATTTTTGGAGTTGAACGAAAAAAACCACGTCAATTAAGAGCCAACAGATAAATTTTCGTCGACCCATAGAAATGTTTTCTCGTTATCTAGTATGTTCCCATCTTCTTTCTCGTCGGTTTTGGTTGTTAAAGAAAATATTCGTGAAAGAGAATGTCTGTATGCCAAAACGCCCCAAGTCAGCAATCTTCAGCAAGTCAGCCTATCTTCAGCAAGATTCTAAACAAAACACGTTGATCAGGATTTTCATCCCATAATTTTGATCCATTCGTAACGGAAACCTTCCAGGTGTTTGTTTTGGTTCAGTATATCTTATCAACATCGTCACAGCTTGTAATAAATGTACGAGCCAGCCACTGCTGCATCCATCCCATCCGTCGGTGGCTCTTTAAATTCCAACTGAAAGGCCTTGTCGGCGCACGCCGGCCGGCACGCTTGACGAATGCAATCTATCAATAAAATTAAAAGTCATAGATGCTTCCTCTGCTTTCTTGTCGGAATTGATCTCGCTTTTCCAGTGCTGAAGTGCACTTGTTAAATAATTCGATGCTAGTTATCGCACAGAGAAGTTTTTTTTTTATAAACAGTGCGTTTACTTTTCAAGTAGTAACGAGTGCTTCATTTCAATTAAAAAATCGATAAAATGTAACAAACAAGGCTCTTGTCTAAGATTTAAGTGTCTTCGATGAGTCTCTTCGACGCGTGCGCAAAGTTAACAAGTGGCACTATCAATTTAAACGGTGGCGTGGCGTGCTTTGCGATGGATTGATTGATCTGCCATTTAAACCTATGGGAAAGAATCGAAATCTGGGTGTCCGCAACGAGCACCGTAATAATCGATTCTTTACTATAGCTTCAAATGGGGAAATATCGGTAATTGATCGTTCACGCCTCGCGACTGAATTTGAAATTGCCAGAGATTATCCCGGTATTTACTTCTCTCTTTTTTTAAACACATTTCTAGTGGAGAATGTTAGGTAAAAGGGTCAGTATGTCCTAACTGTCTAAGAAGGGAAACGATGATAAGTTTGCGGCCCGCATTACAGCTTTTGAAAAAAGGGAAAGAAACGCTTTAGTATCGGATCAGATCTTGTGGATCACATTTGCTTATTTTACGTTCCAACCCATGATGTTCCAGTGAATATTCTAATTACGTGTCTAATTTTCAGGTAAATGGAGTTCTTTCATGTGTTAGTAATTTGTGATTTAAGTACTGATTCGTAAGTAAAATTTTGCGAGAAACTTGATGGTGACACTGGCTTTCTCTGAAATCAACTCCGAAGCTCAAAGAAACCTCTCAAAGTTGAGGCCGTACTGAAGGGAATATCCCACGTTACCGTGAGAGTCTACCTCTACATCGAGACAACTCCATGCAAAGATAGGGAGCAAATACATAAACTGGGTTGCCGTGTTTTCAGTTTTGAATTTCCTAAACAAAGTAGCAACCCTGTTAGTGTATTTGCTCCACATCTTTGCATATAGAGTTTGTCTTGATGTGGAGGTGGACTCTCAGGGTAACCTGGATATCCCGTGCAGTACGGCCTCAACTTTGAGAGGTTTTTTTGAGCTTTGGAGTTGATTTCAGAAAAAACCAGTGGCTTTATCATCTTCCTCACGAAATTTCGCACGTGCAAGAGCTCCATTGGCCTCAATTCAGCAAACTGGACCAAGATGTCAGGAAATACTGGTCACCGACGGTGCAAAACTGTGGTATGAGAGCTAAGCATTTTTTAAAATTCGAGGAAAATCTTTTTCTTGTTTGATGGACTCGATTTTTCTCAGTCTGGAATTCTGAATCGCCAGTGAAGTTTGTTGACTAACGTGGCCTCGACCAGCCTATTTTGCTGCACCGAAAAAAAAAGCACGCGGTTGTTGGATGATATGGACATTTCCAATTAATTGTGGCAGTACCCTAATTTTTTTATGGTAGCACCCTAATTAATTACGGTAGTACCCCAATAAATTAGGTAACTAACCCAAATGTTGCAGTACTAATACAATAAATTAGAAATGTTCATATCATCCAGCAAATTGGGGTAGTACCACAAATTCTAGGGGATAACCCCTGACACTTTTTTTTCCGTTTGGGTAGTAAACTATCAGTGCTGCTTTTATTCATTTTAAAACTGAAATTTCGATACAGTAAATGGATCAGAGCGATCGTAACCGCAATGAAGTACGAATGAAGTAAGTCCTCTCATCACAATCAGACATTTTTTTCTAGAGTCAATTTTTATCTTCACTTACAATTACCTTATCGAAACTTTTTTGAATGTTTACGTCTTGGATGATTTTATCGCCTCTTCCGGTACGACGCGGCGAGCGGAACACAATTTCCCCGAAAGGGTCAGAATAGCTATCTCTTTGCGCAGTCCAAATTTCGCTTTGATGGAGCAAAGGAAATTGAAAGATAACGCTAGAGCGCCTATAACTGCTCTTTTTTCTTCTCCTGACGTGCTCTTTTCCTCCCACAATTTGCGCGTTTATTTTATTGCCGCGTTTCAGGAATCTGCGATGACTCATTTCTATTCAACGCTCCCATCCTGAAGCCTTCTTACTTATGTAAAAAGTCGCTCCCACAATGCGCTCTGGCGTTCTGCGACACCCAAACGCCAGATTATCTTTCCAGAGGTTATCCTGACGCTATCTCTTCAATGCCCTGCCGCCATCCCTTCTTGGGACGTCCCCGTCGGCTTTTCCCAGGTGGTATACAATCCAAAACTTGCTTGGGCAACCTCTTTTCCGACCCTCTTCGGAAATTTTTCCATTTTTTCCCCCCACAATTTTGGATATGTCCATACCACACTAACTTCCTGGACATGACATCGTGCTTTATATCACTTTTAACTTCATTACCTGGTGAGTTTTTTCATTACGGACACGTCCCGTCTCGAGATGCTTGCCAAGCGATATATCGATTGATCTTTTATTTAAACCTATGGAAAAGGCTCGATAGACATGATGTTCGCAACCAACACCTTGATAATCGATTCTTTATCACAATTAATTTCGAATGGGGAATTATCGATCGCCTCGCCACTGTTTCCATTCTTGTAAGAAGAAGCAAATCGACTCATTTAGCGTGGAGTTTTATGCTTCCCAACACTATAAACTAGCAAAGCGATCGATAATTCCTATCTTTGTTTTGACGATTGTTATTTTCCCAACGAATTTTCCATGGGAATTTCCTTTTTTCAATATACATCTCGTCAAAAATACGTATATTCCCAGTTCAAAATTTTGATACACCTACTAATTCACGAGAAGTTTTATTTTCTCAAAAAAAAAAAAAAAAAAAAAAAAAAAAAAAAAAAAAAAAAAAAAAGCNAAACGAGTGTATCGTCTTTAATGTTTTTAAAAATTGTAGTGTTTCAAACTCGCACGAATTTATTGTGAACGAAATTTATTTTTTCCTCTTTCTTTGTTATCATAAAAAAACTTTGCTGCAATTGAACTACTTTTTTCTTATTGGCTGTCTGAT